TATCAATCTTTGTTCGATTATATTATTACAATATAGTTTGGAAAAGTTTAAATTAATTTTTTCAGTTGGTACATAGCGATATCAAAAAAAATGCATTGATTTTTAGTCTAATATATAACAAAAAACACGAACTCAATAAATGAATAATTTTGGTCCAAGTGTAGTAATCTGCAGTAAAATATTATAAGAAAAATGGTAGAACACTACACTTTTTAATAGTATGTTTTCGGATATGTTTTTGGTATACATTCGGAATATTTAATCAGGTATAGTCTTCTGCGGTAATATATTATAAGAAAATAGCAGAAGACTACACTTTTTAATGATATGTTTTTAGGTATATGCTTGATGGTATATTTTTATGATATGTTCTCAGGTGTAGTCTTTTGTGGTATAAATATAGTAGAAGACTATAGCAAAGATATATATATTTTGGGTAGGTTAACAAGTATAGTCTTTTGTGATATATATATATAATAAATATGGCAGAAGACTATAGTAAAAATATATATACTTAAAAGTGTAGTCTTTTGCGATATAAATATATAATAAATATGGTAGAAGATTACACTTTTTGACGATATGTCTCCAGGTATGTGATCAGGATATTCAAGTGCAGTAATATATTATAAGAAAAATGGCAGAAAAATACTTTTTCAATGATATGTTTTCAGATAGGTAACATCAGATTTTATTTATCCATCCTTCCTATATAGTCAGTCGAAGTTAACCTACTTTTTAATATGTATGTTTTCAGGATATATTTCTGGTATCGAAAATTTCAGCAATTAAAATTGACATATTCTAATATAACGTATTCGATAGCAATTAGATAACGTGTATATAGCATACGCGATAGTAATTAGATAACATTAATTGATAGCAATTACGCATACATGTTTGATAACATACCTGATAGCAATAGGTAGGTAACATTGGCCAGCAAATAACAATACATAATTGAATATATTTTTTACCCATGTGACCAATGACGGGAATCGGTCATGATTGCCAAGCCAACATACAAATATTGCAATCGACCCGTAAACTCGCATTAAGGTCAACAAGTCAGCATAACCTAATTCGGCTATTTTATTACGATAGAAATCGGTTGGAAACGATAAGCCAACATACGATATCAAATGATGTATAAAATGTATTTGATTTATCAAACTCGCGATAACAATATGGAGGTGTTATAACCTAATTCAGTTATTCTATTGTAGTGGAAATCACCCATGAATATCAAACCGGTATACAATATAATGTTATCGAATTTGGGTTATAATAGAAAACGTGTCACTCGAATGATGGTACGTCTTAACCTAAATCGGTGAGTATCTTATAATCGAAATCGATCAGGCAAATGCAAAATGCATGTTATCTGATGATCAGTTATATCCACTCATCTTTGTGTCGTAAAAAGCAAAACGCATGTCACTCGAATGACGGAACGTCATAACCTAGATCGAGTATTTCTTTTTAATAAAAATTGATTAGAAAGTCAAATTCGATATTGATAATTTTTTAATCACTCAAATACCTTAGTTTGTGTCGTAAAAATTGGATCACGACACCTTAGTCTGTGTCATAAAATTTGAATCACGACACATATCTGAGTGGGAATAACCTATATTAAGTGGAAATAACATAATTATGTTATTTCCATTAAGATAATTAATCAAAAGACTTCAATCTACATATAAATTCCAAAAGGTTTATAATAAATGGTTCCAGGACTTTTATTATTATTATCAAATGACCCTGCTACTATTAATCAAATTCTAAAAGAAAGAAATATTCTTTTAATAAGTATTTATTTACACAATGCTAATTTTTTAATTTAATTTAGATTTTAGACTAATTGCACCTGTTATAAAAGAAGTGCCATGTAATTTTTAAAGATAATTAAAATATTCAGATATTTCAAATACTTTTGTCTAAAATTTTAAAGAAGATAAATCATTCTTTGTTATTATTTGTAACTTTGGATTTTTCTTATAATTAGGTTCTTTTTTTTAAAACAAATATTGAATTGAAATAATAAAAAATTAAAACATTTTTTGTATTATGGGATTTGTTATATCAGGAAAATATAAATTTTTATAAAAGTTAAATCAGAAGTTTTTTCTTATATAATAATTTTTACTTTAACTTGTTTTTAATTCACAATTATTAGAAAATCTTAATTGAAATTAAGAATTATTGATATAATATATGCAAGATATTCAGTAAATCCAAATATAAAATATAATATACTTTTTACTTCCTGTAAGTATTAAACTAGAAATATGCATTTGGAAACCTGGAAGCATTAACTACTGTACTATTGATTCACAAGTCTATAATTTATTTTATTTTTATAATAAAATTATATAGTGAAATTGATAAAAGTTGTATTTTTAAAAATCTTTTTTTAAATTAAACACACTTGAAATTTCAAAATTAATTTTTTGACAATTGTTTTATTAAATATATCAAATTTTTTTGTCAACAAAAAAAAGATTTAAATTTTAATATATAATTTTTAAAAAATTTTTAATTATATAAATAATTTATTTATAAATCATATATTGAAAATTTTAAGATAAAAAAAAATCATTAAAAAAATCCAATGATTAGGAATTCTGATAATCTATTTGTTTTAAAAATTTTATGATAATTAAATTAAATTTGAATTTTTAAAAGAGGTGAGATTACTTACGACTAGCATTATACAATAAGTTAATTGCTCTTTATTTATCAATTTTTTTTGGTGATTGATCATCTGGCAATGTAAGGTTACACTTTTTAATAAATTTATCTATCAAACATTCTTTGAATAATCACGATAACCTTTACAACTATCGAGCTAATTTCTCTGGTAACTATAAACAGTTGACTATTATTCCTAGCATTGGCTACACCGATGGCTGAAACTATACATTCTTTGATGGAAATTATTACAAGTTTAATTAAACAGTTTGTCATTAAAATCAGTCACAATTTCATGTAACTTCTGTGTGATTCTATACAAGAGAGACTCCCAAAGTATTGTGATAAGGGTCGGTATTTTCTATGAATAATTATTTTAAAGTGTTAGACGAATATCAATTTATTTTTACGTAACCGTGAGCTGAAAATGACGATATTGGCGATATTCAGCTGATGTGACGAGGTTTATAGCATATCTATATTAGAAAATTCTATTTAAACTGCATATAGAAATATTTGAATTTTACGACTAAATAACTGCATTTACTGTACTTACACGTATATATCGAGAGTCTCTAGATAATTTTGAACAGCCAATGGGATGGGAAAATGAGGCGCAAACGATATAAAATAGCGTAGATAATTAGGAAGTGATAAAACACAAAACAATAAGTGCTGTATAAGTTAGTACCATCATAAAAAGAAGGGACCTTTGCACTCTTACAATCATTCAAATAAAGTTTAATAAAGTTCAAAACTTAAATAATAAACTTTCATTGCGTTGATCGAGTGTCCAATATATTTGCAACTTCGTTGGCGTGGCTGATAGAAAATTGGAGCTTAGGATTTAGAAAAGAAAAATTAATATTTTCGGAAAAAGATTTGGCAGAGAAAGTACACAGATCAAAACCCAATAGTTAGTCGATGATTCCAAAGAGGCACCAATTTTTTTTAAAAAATAAGACAGTGATCAAATTTCATAACTCATTAGTATTATAGCCTGGGTAAATTATTAATATACTCTATACTGTATATTGATTTATCTTAACTATTGACAAAAAATATTATTTAACTTTTTCTACAATTAGTTTATGAACCAGGATGGTTTTTATCTAATCCACATTAAAATTCTTTATAATATTGTGAAAAGTTGTAGTACGCAGGAAGTTATGGGGAACCAATAATTGTTATAAAAATAAAGGCATAATTTATTGATAATATTGTAAATAAATCAAGTGTAACTATATCATTGATACCTTTAATATTATGACCTAAACTAAATTCGAAATATTTGCCATATCCGCTATTTTAATAAAACATTATCGAAAATCAAATTTATGAACTTATTTGAAGATGTGATTCCAAAAGTTATTTCCTTGAAACATGCAACGTTTTTCTTCGTATTTAAACGCAAAATTTCGACCAAGTTCTGCTTCCATTTTTATTTTTTTCAATGTTTGACCATTGAGTGGCAATTCATACAGTTCTTGTATGAGATCAGAAATTTCTTTTAGAGAGAATGGAGGTACAGAAGGATCATTGGTTTCAATCGCTTTTTTTATGATCGATATTTTTTCAGAATATTCTCTTTTTACAGCTTCAAGTCCTATGAGAATTCTATTGTCATAAATGGCTGGATCACTACTCTTCTTGGTTTTTTCTTCGTTAATAAAATGATCCAGGTATTCAGCATATGTATCGTTGTAAGCAGCGATTGCGTTTTGTCTTAAAAACTGTGCGAGCTTGATGTTAATAGAACTTATTCTTTTCTGTTCTTCTTTTTGTCTGCTTATATATTGTTCTTTATCATCTATTATCGCTTTTTTTGTATCTTGATAAGAAACCTTTTCTTTAATCAATTTTACTACATTTTCATCAATAACTTTTATGAATGTATGCTTATTCTCGTATGTAATATGCATATGTTTGCTCCAATGACAGGAGCAGTTTCCGCAATTTTCGGTATTATTCATGGCTGCACATTCTCTCAAGGCCGCATTGTTTACTAAATTAGGCTCGACGTTTTTTAAATAACATCGTGTGTGACAATGTGTTATGTAGTCCACCTTTGTTAAATTCTTGCCGACAGAAATGGTTTTTGTGCAGCTCTTGTTAGTACATACAGTTCTGGGATGACCCAATTTTTTTGGAGTAAGATCTAAAAGTGTAGTATGAAGCCTGCTTCTTAAATCTTCTATGGATTGATGGGAGTTTTCAATTTCCTTTTGTTGATCTTTGATTATACTAATATTTACTTGGATTAATTGACCTATTTCGGCAAGAGGTTTAGAAAGAAGCATCACATTCTTTCTTACGTTGTTGAGTGATAAAGTTTCTTCTGTTTTATGAGGTTCAAGTGATACAAT